GACCGATACAATGCATCCCTGAAGCCGCTAAGAAACGCGAGCATATGGGACCTGTGGCTAGCGGAGTATGACTACGCTGCCACAGAAGCGGAGACACAAAATGTTCCAGAAACAACGCAGTTTAATGCTGTGGCAAAGGACTTTCTGACTGCTGTGAATAAAGTCGCCCCTTATTAGTCTACGACCTTTCAGGAAAGCGGACGGTTCGCACTAGACATGAATTAGAAAGAAATGATAAAGCGCTTCTAAGAACATATAATGTTAAATTATCTAATACGTACAGGAAAGCATAAAGCTGCCTTTACAACAGATAACTCGTCATACCTCGCTAAAAGTGGGAAGACCACCCAGGGCACAAACAGGGACGCCTGTAGTGCAGAAGTCGCAACGTTAAGAAAACAGGGTAGACCTTAACATTAACGTTATTAAGAAGATAACAGGAAGTTATTCTTAAGCCAGAAACCTGCTAAAACAGGAGGCACTAAATGTCCTGCATGCGGACACATCCATGCACTAAAGGACTGCTTCTATGTCTATCCAGACAGAGCACCAGACTAGTGGATGCTAAATGAGAGAGTCAAAGAGCTTGTGGCATTAAAGCGCAAGCACAACTCAGAATTTTAAGGCCTACTAAGAGGGCAGCGCAGACATAATTTAAGGATACTAATCCTAAAGAGTTTACATACACCTACGCTAGAGATACAAGAAGACTAACTTAAAGGCTAGGAAGTATTAAGAGTTAAGGCAGCTGCATTGCTAGCTATGGTTAATTTAAACTAGAACAGATATCTACTAAGAGAATTATTTATCCTTAACTTAGGCTTAACATGCCACATTACAAACAATCCTAATTAGATCTACAACTATTGTCTACTAACACTAGGAGACTTTATCTAGTCTAGAAACTCTTGCATATGGATTTAAGGCTACAGATTAATTACACTAAGCCTAAAGAGCAAGCATAGAACACACAGTTAAGCATACAGTCTTGTACTTTATAACGCTGCACTGTGCCTAGACCTGCTGTGCAACCTAGTCTTGTTCTGCCTACTGCAACAGAAAGGAATCTGGTGGGACACACAAGCAGAGCTGACTGCTTTAAAGGCCCTAGACAGGACAACAATTAGAGATCTCACAGAGATCTATGGCTAATAGGTGTTAGAGTACCATCCACTACAGGAGGGCTTATATTATACACACATAATTAACACAAGAACTAAACGTGGTCTACAAAAGGCATTAGCAGAGCTATGGCATAAGCGTCTGGGACACTCTGGACTAGCTACACTTTAACACCTTGTACAGCAAGCTGAGGGGGTGCGAATTAAAGGAATCACAACAGTCTAATGTAACTTGTGTGGCAGAGCTAAGATACAACAACAAATTAGCTGCGCACTGCAAATTAGCAACAGCGGACCTAGCAAGAGACTGTTAATTAATTTCTATGCATATAAAGCACAGAGCATTACAAAAGAGCAGAGTTAAATGCTAATTACTAATAAGTATTCTAGCCTCTAGTGGGACCTCTACTTTAAGGATAATAGGCCTGCTAAATTAATTATTAAAGCTCTTATAATTTTTATCCTCTTTCTAAAGAACTATTACAACATTACTATAAAAGTTATTAAAGCTAACAACAAGATTACAACAGTAAAACTAGAGGTAGAACGCTGGCTAGCATCGCATAGAATAACTGTTAAGCCTTCAGCACTAGATACACAAGCCTAGAACGGAGGAGCTGAACGCTCAGGGGGTGTGAACAAGGAGAAGTTACAGGCTATGCAACTGGATGCCAACCTACCATAGGACGTATGGCCATACATCACTAGAGCCGGCGTATACCTATACAATTAGACGCCAAACTATGCCAACAACTAGAAGACACTATACAAGATCTTCTTCACACAAGCAGCTCTAAATAATAGAGTTGTTACGTTAATTTAAAAGCTAAGCCTTACACATCTAAGAGCCTATAGCTGCAAAGCATTCGCAATGACTAATAACACACATTAGAACAAATCTAGGCTACAGAGGCTAGACCTAAAGGCGTGGATTAGATATCTAGTTAGGTACTAATTGTTGAACATCTACTGCGTATAGATACCACCGCTAGCGAAAGTAATCCGTACACGCAATGTTATTTTTAACAAACACTTAATCTTTAGCAGCAAGCCTAAAGACCTAATGGATAACCTTATGCATAACACAGTAGAGGAAATTGCTACATATATTAGAACAATTAAGCTTCTAACACCTAGTTATTAGCCAGAGACAGAGTTATTCTACAAAGATAACACTGCGGACAATACATTAAATTTTAACAAAGTAGACCCACTAGGCTACTATTAAGGAAGGAAGATTAGAGATAACTATCTGTCTCCTCTAAACACTCCGCTACCTGCAGCATTGCTCATGCAGTCAATGGCTGGAGCAGCACTAGAGCCGAGCTAAATGGGGTCGCTAAAGACTGTACTATGGGCTGCAGCCTTTATAGCCGGCACAAGATCTAGAAGTGTAGGAAAGCATAGTAGCAAGACGCTAGATAAAGCGGCATTAATAAGGATGCTATCTAAAAGGAAGACACCTTATAGAAGCCAGCTGCCACCTCCGCTATTAACCTAAAAGCAACTAGAGGAGCACCCTCTACATAAGATGTTTAAGGCAGCGGAAAGAACGCACCTAGACAGTCATTAGACAATAAAATCCTGGACAGAGGTCTAGACAAAGCCAATCAAGGCAGCCGGACAGCAGATTCTGGATTGTATGTGGGTGTACACCTACAAGCTTGACAAGCACTACA